AAAAAAAAAAAAAATAAAAAGGAAAGACATAATAATCCACTCATGAGAGACCAGAGGCAGGAGGCAGGAGGGAGAAAGGAAGAGACAGGAGCAGCTCCCACACTTGCTCCAGGCCTGGGAGGACAGAGCAGTCAGCCCCCACCCATTATAAATAAGGAAGACGGAAGCCCTGGGCTGGGGGCCTGTCCCGGTCACCAGCAAGGTAGGTGCAAGGGGGCTGATAGAGAAGAGAAGAGAATGATAAGAATGAAATAGAAATGAGAGGTCAGGATAAGGTGTCTCTCAGCCCCCTGAGATCCAGGCACTAAGGAGGGTCTCAGGCCAGCACCTGCCTCTTGGGGGGGACCTCTGGGTGGGGTGCCAGCTGGGTCTGGGTCTGAGTCTGAGTGAGGGGCCCAGGGACAGTCAAGGGGAGAGTCTGGGCAGGCAGTGTCGCTGCAGCTGTGGCCCCAGCGGCCGTGGCTGGGCTGGGCGTGGAGTCGGACCAGTCGGAGAGGGCAGGGGGCGATGGACTGGCCCAGTGCTCCGGGGACTCAGGGGAGGGGGTCAGGTAAGGGTGCTCGCTGGGGACCCGCAGGAAGTGGGCCTTATGGGGGCTGCTGTGGGATCCAGCTGCCACATATTCCTCTCCATGTGCTGGAACAGCAAGGTACGGTGGGGGCCGCTCCTGGGGGGAAACGGGGGTCCCAGGGTTCAGCAGCTGGGGACCTGGGGCCAAGGGCAGCAGGAAGGAGGGGCCTGGAGGGGCTGGTGGAGGAAGGCGGGCCCAGTCAAGGGGTACTGCCACAGGGTTCAGCAGACCCAGGCTGAGCACACAGCCCCCCTGTGGCTGGCGCCCTAGACCCACCCGCCCAGCACCCCCAAGCTGTGCCAGAGAGACCGCTGTGGCAGTGGCAGCTGCATAGGGCCCCTCAAGGGGGAAACCCCCAGGGGAAGCAGGGGGTCCCCCAAAGGGCCGAGGGGAGTCCAGCGAGTCCACGGGCGAAAGGGTAACAGAGCTATCTGCCAGTGGCCCGGGGCAAGCCAGTGTCAGCTTCTTGCCCCGGCCCCGAGCCCCTTGAGGCCCCAGCCCTGCCTTCCCAGGGGGTCTCCGGCTCTTCTTGCCCCCTGAAGGTGCTGCCTTGAGGCCTGGGAGGAAGGCCCCAGGTGGGCATAGCAGGGGGCCCAGGCCATGGGGGCCAGGAGGGCTGCGAGGCCCGCTGGGCTGGTCCAGCAACCGCACGATGTCCTGGTGCAGCCGCTCCTGGGCCACGTCTCGCGGCAGCCGGTCCAGGTGGTCGGTGATCTCACGGTTGGCAAAGTGGTCCAGCAGCAGCTTGGCAGCCTCAAAGCTGCCTTCACGGGCAGCCAGGAACAGGGGTGTCTCCTCCTGGGGGACCAGAACTCACAGGCATCAGGGCCATGAGGGTCAAAGTCTAACTAACATCCAACGCCTTTAGTCAAGTCTTCACTTCTGATCAGGCCTAAGAGCCAAAGGTTCATGCTCTTGAGCCTGACAGATCACGGTTCAAATCCTGGGAGAACCTGGCAAGGTCATTCCTTGACACAACATCTATGGAATTCTAGGGCCTGGGTTGGGACGAAGCACACAAGACACTCACCACGGGCTTTAAATCGAAAAAGGACAAGCCCATACACTGCTACTAAGTCAATTCCAACTCACAGCGACCTCGTGTGTTTCACAGAGGAACTGCTCAATAGACTTTGATTTGACCGTAGAGCAGAACTTCCTTCCAGTACATTGCTGGATGGATTCGACCCACCAACCAACATCGCCCATGTGCACAACTAGGAACCACTGAATTCAAGGGGCCACCAAAAACCTCAGCCATCTAAATAAATAATATCTTAATGCAATCTTTTTTAAGATTCATTTTTTTAAAATTCCATGATGAACAAAAGATGGAAATCTTAAATAAAGGGTAGGCTCAAACCCCGACCCCTCTGAGCTTCACTCTTCCCATCTGTAAGATGAAGATTGAAACCACCTTGGAAGGGATTTGAAACCATGATCATAGCTGGTAAACCAGTACCATCAAATTATTTCTGACTCATGATGGTTCATTGATGCCATGATCCGAAAAATAAAAAAAAATTAAAAAAAAAACCCCGCTGCCATTAACTCCAAATCACGGTGACCCCATGGAAGCCAGTCACCAGGCCTTTCTTCCTCGTGCAGTTGGGTTAGCAACAGAGCAAAACCTGTGCTGCTCAGGGACCCTCCATGTTCACAGCAGGTACCTTTCATCAAAGATCTACTAACATACTCCACAAAAACTTAGCTCGCCAAGTCCTCTCAAGGTGCCACGAGGTGGGCACCATTGCTTCCCTGCTTCACTGGCAAGAAACTGAGATTCCAAGAAGTCGGTGAATTGCCCAACATCACACAGCGAAGACCACAGACCCTCCCCTGCTCCCTGGTCATCCTTTCTTGGCCCTAACCCCCATTCTGGAAGGTTGCCTTAGGCAAGTGGAGGCCCCTGTGACCCACCAGCTCCTGACTTCCGTCACCTGAGGGGGCTGTGCAGGTGCTGGCCCTCAGATGGGCTGCGGTGCCCGCTCACCTTGCTGTCCTGCATGTCCTTGTTGGCTCCATTTTTGAGCAGGGCCAAGGTGGCCTCCACATTGTTGACGGCAGCAGCCCAGTGTAAGGCTGATTTCCCTGGAGGGAGAGAGGAGAGGACAGGGTCAGGCCCCGGCTCATGTCCCTGCCCCCATGGCAGGATGCAGGAAACACTCAGAATGTGGTGTAGAGGAGGCTGGGGGCAGAGGAATCAGTAGGAACCAAACACTTGTGTCTGGGCATTTATATAGTGACTGTACATCCAGTCGCACCTTGCACACTGCAGCTCCTCTGTACATGTGATATACACATGTGCCAAAACAACTATGAGACAGCATCTCACCCCAGTCAGAATAGCAAAATTTAACAGAACAGCAAACAGCAAATGCTGGCAAGGTTGTGGAGAAACTGGAACACTTATTCACTGATAGTGGGAGTGCAAAATGGTACAAACCACTATTGAAGGCTATATGGCGCTTTCTCAGAAAGTTGCAAATAGAAATACCACTTGACCCAGCAATTTCAACACTAGGAACATAGCCTAAAAAAACCTGAGCTGCCACCCAAGCAGATATATGCATACCCATGTTTATTGCTACCTTATTCACAATAGCAAAGAGATGGAAGCAACCCAAGTGCCCATCAACAAACGAATGGATAGAGAAGCTCTGGTATATTCACACAATGGAATACTATGCTGCATTGAAAAACAAGGAACTCATGCAATATTATTAAAAATGGGTGACTCTGGAGCACATTTTGCTGAGTGAAATATCTCAGTCACAAAAGGACAAATACGGCATAGTGACACTGTTGTAAAATGGGACTGACATCAGGGTTGGGGGAGACTGAGAAAAATGGGATAAATAATGTATACTGCATTGAAACAGATGAGGGAGAAAAACTGTTTAAAAGGGATATGTGATTAGGTATTATTGTCACGACAGGAGTCCAGAACGAAGGCTACATAGTGGAGTGAACTTGGGGGAAGGGATTGTATAACAATGAAAGAATTTCTCTTGTACTTCTCAAGGAGAAGAGTAAATTGAGGGGAGAAGGGTGGGCAAGCAGAAAAGTGCAACAATGAATAACTGGAAATCCAAAGTCTCTGTAAACTTTCATTAAAATTAATAATAATAAAAAAATGTTTAAAATACATATACACATGTGCACACCCGTGGATGATTCTGTCCATAGGATATTGTGCATAGCTGTGAAATGAGTCTAAACATGGAGTGAGGCCGAGGGAGGATAACTGTGTATACATGCACACCTGCAGACCTGACACCCAGCACACGGCAGACTGTACATGTGAACACACATGCAGACCTGACACCCAGCACACGGCAGACTGTACATGTG